ATTTTCTACAAAAACAATAAACATACCAAGTTAGATATACCAAAAACTACACTGTCAAGATATACCAAAAACAATAAACATAAATAGTAGTTTATTCTTGAAACTAAAAATTTGCAACACTGTTTTGTCTTTTGGTTGAAATGAAAATCGCAATGAGATAATGAGAATCGCAACGCGGAAATGACTATCGCAACGAGAGAATCGCAACGCGAAATGAAAATCGCAACGCGAAATGAAAATCGCGTTGCGATTTTTATTTCGCGTTGCGATAGTTATTTCCGCGTTGCGATTTTCATTCTCGAAACTATTCTTCTTCTGCATTACTTCAACCAAAAGACAAAACAAAGAAAAATACTAACTTCACAGGCTAAACAGTTTAGCAGTATTGGCAGCAATCGAATGAATTTAATAAGAAATCTAAGTGAAATGGTTAATTTATTATTGAAATTACCAGTAAACTTATCATCAATCTCAATATGAAAAACCTAAAATAATGCAAAAATTTCAACAACAAAAAAACTAACCCTCGGAGGTTGATTTTCTATTTCTGAATGATTGTGAGGGATTTTTGACTGTGAATGGTTGTGAGGGATTTCGCCGGCGATGGGGACGGAAATCTTCGGAGATGGGGACGGATTTCGCCATAGAGAGTGAGAGATGGAGATGGGACTGAGTGTTGTGATTTTGGGTTTGAGGTTATGAGTTGCGATTACTGTGGACGGTTCAGTTTCCGATTTATTAAGAAAACATTCGTGTTTGGAATTTGAAAAAAAAATACGCGTTAATACGAATGGCGCTATGTAAATCGCGTTGCGAAAGTCAGAATCGCGTTGCGAAAGTCAGTATCTCGTTGCGATTTTGTATTATCGCATTGTGATAGTAAGTATCGCATTGCGATAGTCAGTATCGCATTGCGATTTTCCCAATTCGCGTTGCTATTTACTTATTCGCATTGCGAATTGGGAAAATCGCAACGACACTGTAGACCATCGCAACGCAATTTCCAACTATCGCAACGCGAAATGCAACGCGAATTTGCGATAATGGAGATCGCGTTGCGAATTAGCGATCGCATTGCGATTTTGTTGGTCATTTTGGCAAATCCGGAAAAAGTTGGTTAAAATCGTATATTATAAGGCATTTTTGGTCACTGAGGCGATTTTCTCAAAAAATAATTTGTATACTTTTACTAAGACGTTCTCCAATACTTCTTCTGAGTAGATAACTGAGCAATATGCCAATTGAATGGTAACTCTCGTGTCCTTCAATGGTTCGGCTAAAATAGTATTATAAATGGATAGAGGTATCAAGTTTATTGAGGCTCCCAAATCGCACATCGCACGTTTTATGCCCACTTTGCCAATTTTACAAGGTATGGCGAACATGCCTTGGTCCTTTAACTTTGGTGGAAGCTGTCGGGTCAAAACCACAGAAACATGCTCTCCAAGGTTTACTTTCTCATGTCCGGTAAGTCTTCTTTTAGTAGTGCAAAGCTATTTAAGGAAACGTACATACCTGGGCACCTTCCGAATTACTTCTAAGAGTTGAATATTGATCTCAACTTTTCGGAAGACGTCTAAAATCTCCTTCTCCTTTGCTTGATTGTCTTTCTTTATGAATCTCGCTAGGAAATGAGGTAGAACAACATATGAAGAAGGTGCATCTTCAAAAATTAGATTATTCTTTCTTTGAATTGTGGCGTCATCTTCCTTTTGGGATTTGGCGTCAATTACTTTTTCATTCTTTTGAGATTTGACATCAATCTCCTTTTGGATTGGTTGTTCGATGACTGTTCCTCTTCTTAGAGTGATGTTACTCATATTCCCCAGTGGGTTCGCTTTAGCTTGTGAGGGAAGTTTGTCGTGTGATTCTAAGCTGCCCACAGTTTGTGCCAATTGACTGATCTACTTGTCAATTTCTTACAAGTGTGACTCCATGCAGTTCTAAAATTTTTTATTGGGATTGTTCCAATCATTCCACGAGGGTCTCGAGTGAAGTCTTTGGCGGTTAATATGGTTGTGGTGGAGGCGGCCTTGGCTGGTAAGATTGTTTGGGCCTAAGGTTTTGCACATACCTGAAATTAGGATGATCTCACCATCCCAAATTGTATGTGTTTCTATAGGGATTATACGACCTTTGGGGAAGTCCTGGAAAATTTCCCATGGTATTCACTTATGCGCTTGTTTCATCTTGGAGCGTTAGGCAGCAATCAGTTGGGTGGTTTGGCATCGTACATATCCCGTATACTTTGGTTGATCCATTATTTCTTCCAATAAGAGAATTAACTATATTAGTTAATTTGTTGATTTTATTTTCAAGTGAAACGTTGCTTAACTCGTTAATTCACTCTCAACAGTTAATCGTTCGGTTGAATTCACTCGATGCACCAAACTGTTGAGATTTGGCTGCCATCGTTGAAATTAATTCAATCACTTGGTTTGGTGTCATATTGACGAGAGCTCCCCTACTTGCAGCGTTGATCATTTTCATTTCCATCGGAAGTAAGCCTTCGTAGAAATATTGTAGAAGTGTCTGCTCGGTCAATCCGTGTTGCGGACAACTCGCACATAGTTTCATGAATCGCTCTCAGTAGTCGTAAAGCTATTTTTCGTGCTTTTGTTTAATTTCAAGTATACTCCGCCTTAATTCACTTGCCTTCGCTGTTAGGAAAAATCTATTGAGAAAAATACGATTTAAATCAGCCCAAGTATTTATCGAATTTGGTGGTAAATAAAATAGTCATTCTTTCGCTATGCCATATAAAGAAAATAGAAATGCTCGTAATTTAATTTGATCTTCGGATACTCCCTGACGTTTCATGCTTGAAAAACCCAATGAAATTCCGCTAAGTGCTTGTGCGGGCTCTTGCTAGGAAGATAGTGAAAGGTAGGAAGTAGATGTATCACTCCCGTTTTGAGTTGAAATGGCATTTCACCTTGAGGGAAAGCGATGCAGATTGGTTGTTGTACCGTAGGAGCTGCGACTAGTTCGCGAATTGTTTGATCACCTATTGGTTCTGGGTGTTATACGTCGTGCATTGGATCGACAATGGGTGTGTGATCGGCGTCGATTGGATTGGTGGATTGCGTGGAATCCATCGATTCCTCGTATGTGGCATAAGTTGAATCTTCGAAATTTGACAGCTCTTACCGTTTTCTTCATTTTCTCCTGAAGTGTTTGACTGTGAATTTGTCTAATGCGCTTCGATTTTCAGAAAAATATATAAGTAATATTTTATATATGATTATAACACGCAAAAATTATATGAATATACGAATTATTGAATTTAGAATAAAAAACTTAACATCCCTTTAATATATTCTTCTTATTATTTGTATTCGATGTATTGACCGTGTACAAAATTTGAAATATCATTAAAAATAAAATTTAATTTTAAAATTTTATGGTATTGTATCATCATTTAGTTCAAGAAAAATATATAAATTTTATAGATTGTAATGTATTGTATATAAATTAAAATATTTGTAAATAACCAGGAAAGGGGCAGAAGAGCCGAAAGCTTATTTTATTGATTGTAGTTTTCTTATAGTTGACTTATCAATTTTCCAAGAAATCGGGCATTAGGGCAAATGGGAAATGGAATATTATATATTGAATTTTATTTTCTGAACTTCGTGAATTTGGTGTGCATATGTATATCTCTCCTTTGTATAATTGTATTTGAACGTTAATAAAATACAATTGAATTTGAAGACCGACTCCTTCAAACCAACTCGAGGAATACGACAAGGGTGTTCGCTTTCACAATACTTGTTCGTTCTCTGCATGGAAAGATTAGCACAGGCGATCCAAAGTGCCATCTCGTAGGGCGAGTGGAAACTAATTAAACTTTCCAGATATGGACCACGACTAGCACACTTGTTCTTTGCGGATGATCTTTTACTCCTGGTCGAAGCATCACTAGAACAAGTTGATGTTTTCCAAAGGATACCCAATGATTTATGCATCAGTTCCGGTCATAAAGTGAGTCTAGCAAAAATAACGATCACATTCTCAAAAAATATAAGTATACAACTGCAAAGCGATATCAGAAGCGAGTTCCAGTTCAAGTTGGTAAACAAGCAAGGTAATTAACTTGGAACCCCACTACCAGTACCTTATTCAAAACATAAGGGACCGATTGTCGGGATGGAAGGCTCAACATTTATCAATGGAGGGAAGAGCAACTCTAATAAAAAAAACCGTCCTTAATGCATGCTCATACCATATTGATAATAACCTACAATCACTCAAATATATGACACTTAAGTTGTGATAGAATTAATTGTTATGTTCTGTATTAGTCTATTTTAAATTTTATTGACTCTTCCAAGATTATGAATATTATTATATTTTTATTTATTTAATAAAACTAATTGTAATTATAGATTTAAAATTTAAAGATATATAGATCTCTCATATATTTATTTTTTATCAATCATCATCTGATATAAACTTAACATTCATTCAATACCATTTATAAATATGAATTTTTTTAATTTATAAGTAAACTTTACACGTATTTGTGATGTTGATTAATATAGGCAAAATAATAATTTACTAAATTCTAACCCAAAAGGAACGCATACACTAGAAGTTATATTATGTTATTTACTTCTTCATATAAAAAGGATAAATTATTTATTTTATTTTGTCATTTAATTATTTTTTTTAATAAACTCGTATGTAATATAATAATTTTTTATTGATTGATGAGTTTACTCAGGTCAATGTTATCACTAAATTATAGTATATAATTATATAATTACGCTTCATTAAGGTATAGAGGAATTAAAATTTCCTTTATTAGTCTCATTAGACCCTTAAGTTACTGTGTTGATTTTTTTCCCAATCAACCAATCAACAAATAAAAAGTTGAAATCTGTCAGTTGCACGATCGTAATTTTCTCATCCAACAGTGGCATTCGTCTTACCATCTCGAGAAAAAGGAAAGATCCTCTGCTTTTTCGTTAACCTCTCCAAAGTTTTCCCTTTTTTTTTAAAAGAAAGAAAAATCATTTTCCCTAAAGCCACCATGGCAATGGCTTGCCTCCCCAAGCTCCGAGTTGCCACCGCCGCTGTTTCCTCCTTCGTTAATCCGCTCCGACATCGGATCCGGTCCTTCGGATCTGCCGCCGCGTTGGAGATCCCCTACGACGATGAATACTACGAGTACGAACAGGCTAACCGGGACCGGCGTTCAGCTCAGCCGAAGATTGACTTGGATGGATCGGCGACAGACAGGGGAGTACAGTGGGTGCTTATTGGGGAGCCTGGGGTCAAACGACATGCTTATGCTGAGAGGCTGTCGAAGCTTCTAGAAGTTCCACATATTTCAATGGGCACCCTCGTTAGACAAGAGCTTAATCCCCGCTCTTCTCTTTACAAACAGGTCTATATCTTTTTTTTTCCTTTGTGAATAAATTTCTATATTCTTTAAAGTTGGGTATTTTCGTTGTTAATTTTAATGTTTTCTTTGAGTTTTGGGTTGCTTTTTCGCGCTTTGAAGGTTCCTGTAATATTGGAGAAGATTTATTTTTTAACTGCAAAAGATTACAAAAAAAAATCTGTTATTTGATTGTCTGATTAAAGAACTTTGTTTTTATATATAATATAGTGAAGAACGCTAATGGGTTGGTGCCATTTGGGTTTAGATTGCAAATACTGTGAATGAAGGGAAGCTTGTACCGGAGGATGTAATTTTTGCTTTGTTATCTAAGAGACTTGAAGAAGGTTACTATGGAGGTGAAAATGGTTTCATTCTTGATGGGATTCCTCGTACCAGGATCCAAGCTGTAAGTCATCTATGATTCTGATGGTGTTTGCAGCTATAGTTTCTCCATTATTATATATAATCCTATTCAACTTTAGCCTAACCAATCTCATTTTGGTGCTAATTTTTCTTTAATTTTTGAAATGCTGAGTGCCCCCTTTTTCTTTAACGTTTCATTGAAATGCTTGTTCACTTGTTTTATTTTTTTTTTGCAGGAGATTCTTGAACAAATTACTGATATTGATCTGGTTGTGAACTTTAAATGCACTGAAGAGTATATGTTGAAAAGTTCAGAAAGTGAGGTTCTTCACTTAGGCCATTCCAAAGATGTAGGAAGTTCCTGGAAGAAAAATGTCCATGCATACTCAGAGCAGGTAATAATATTCACTGGTGGATTACATTCATTGGTCCCCAGCATTTTGTTAGCCCCCTTTTTTTTAATTATTCTTTGATTAGTGAAATGCATGTGTGAATGTGATAAACTATTAGATTCTTGAAATCTGGAGCGAAATTCTTTAACTTTTACTAGCCGACTAATCATTTTTGATGTACATAGGCCAAGTCAGTGGAGGATTATTACAGTTGGCAAAAGAAGCTTCTCAACTTTCAGGTCTCCAGTACACCGGCAGATGCATGGCAAGGTCTTTTGGCTGCATTACATCTCCAGCATATTAATGCTCTCACCACTTCACAGAACCTGACGGCGTGATCATCCTTGTTCTTGAAAACTAGTGTTTACTTTTGATATTACGGCATCATAGTAAATATGTAACTATTGAGTGATAGACAAGTTTTTGAGTGTTGCAAACAACCTTAGTTGGATTTGCCACTGAAGTTTTGTTTTCCTTTTGTTACTATGCAGTTTGAAAGTATGTAATGTAGCTTTGGCTAAGGGCAGATATGATCATTGTCCCATATAATCGCTTCTAATATAAGGATTGCATTGTCTTCTTCATTTATGTTTACATTATTTTGTTTTTCTATTCAGAAATGCCTATATGGAATAACAAGCAGAAATTTACTTACGTATTTACTGCTCAAGAAGGGGAAAAAGTGAAGGAAAAAAGTCTCTCTTAATATTTTAGGTTCAAGTCATATGCATATGGAAGATGTCAACTCATCAAGATTTATAAGACTAACCTCGACTTCCAGGCATTAAGGAGATGCATATGGAAGATGTCCATGACCACGGAGCCAACAAAAGGTCTAAAGTTTGGGTGCTGAACCCCTTCCCTATGGATTTACTTAGAAGCATGTCCTTGGGAAGATCATGAAATCATTAAGGCATTAAGGAGATGCAAATACTTTGACAAAGTCGCTTGTCGTTCGTCACTGTCATCCTGGTCATTAGCATCTCCAACCAAGTCATTGACGTTGATACTAAAGAGATCAGTCAACCATCTAGACCAGTTTCCGATCTGACATCCACAAAAATGAAATTGCTTTACTTCAAAGAAGAAAAACCAAGGTACTGTCACCATCTTAACCACCATGGAAGTAACAAAATATTACCGACAGTCGTAACTACCACTGTATAATGGTTACAGTGGATTATGATAAATGTGATACACCATGATCAAACTCAACGATTAAATCCCAAGGCTAACACATTTCAGTTGAGCACCGGCATCGAAACTTGTTTTCCCAGCTGGAATGGGAAGCACCAGAGGATCGCTAATGGGGTCAGACACAGGATCGATTGGGATTTCATCAGCAGAATCACGAAGAATGGCATTGAACATTGGCACATCTAATCTAGCCACGCATTGCTCCTTTTATCTAGATGCACAATAAGGATGAATTATAACATAAAATTAAAAGGGTAAAAATCTCACAATAGGTAAACATGACCGGTGACAGTTCCCATAATGATGACAAAGAAACCAACAAAAACATTACCATTATGGTAAAATTCCATAGCAGTCTCTAAATAAAAAAGAAAGCAACAACCAGGTTAGATCTTTTAGATTTTCTTAAATAGTTTTTGCCTCCAATGCTTTTATAAGTCTCTTATGCTCGTTTAAATGTTACTACACTGACAAGAAAGCCAGTACTTTCAGAAGCCATAGTCAACCCACTGCAATATTCAGTGTTCTTGTGTGCCTTTTATCTATTTCCGAAAGCAAAATATACATACCAATTTAGACAGCAAACACAAGCAGCCACAGTCGTGCCCTGCAGCTCGAACTGGGCAGAGTCTTTCACAAGCCTCCTTGAAAGCCTTCTTCCAATGGTCTAATGAAAAGTTCCCTCGGTCTTGATTATTTGAACTGCGAATCCCCCGTAACTTTTACTTGAGCCAGAGCCGGTACCTTTATCAATTTCCTTTCTAGCCAAGGACTGCATATGTGGAGTGAGAGTCTTGAGATAGTAATAAAGACAAGTCGGCTGTCCCAATCATTAGATGTTATATTTTCCTTTCTCCTGGGAGAGGATTCTTTCCATTTCAGCGGAGATGATGCTGGTTTCTTCCCCTTTCCACCTCCATTTCTTTCCATAGGTCCAGCAGAAAGTGGTGACTAAATCTCCAATGTTTTCGCTTATAATTGCTCGCAACACAACACAGTTTGACAACCAGAACGTCAACCTGTAGTCAGCACACATATGATCTATGAGCTAATGAGAAATCATGCATATGATTTATGAGGTTAAATTACAGCAGGGACGAAACCAGGAAAAACTGTTTGGGGTGAAAAGTTAAATTAAAATTTTTTAAGGGGCAAAAATGAAAAATTAATACTATATTAATTTAAAATTTACACTTTTTGAAGAGACTAAATCATAAATTGACATTTATGAGGGAATCGAAATATAATTTTACCATTGTACTCATTAAATATGTTAAAAATTTGAAGGGACTAAAAAACAGTTTCATAATCCCTGAATTACAGCCAAGACTTTTGTGAAAATCCAGCTTCAGCTACTGGAGATTGAGGACTGGACTAATAGAACTTTGACGTCAGATAGAATAATAATTATCCTGCAAGCGCTCCAACAAATGATTCACAAGAGAAAATTCGCCCAAAAAAACCAGAGAAAAAAGTCTCTAGGGTTTAATAAAATATTATAAATTCAAAACCACCAAAATCAGTCCACAAGCCGGACTGTTATAGCCAAAAATCGTCTTTATTCGAATTTTGCCAAAAATAGCAAAATCCCGAAAATCACTCTAAATTGAAATTTGAAATAAAATAAACAATCTCCAAAAAATACGGCCTAAATCGGATTTAAATTGACTTCCTAATTGACAATCGAAATATTACCATAAATAGTAAAAAATATTTAATTTTAGTGATTCGGAGGGGAAAACGGCAGAATTTGAGGTTGAAAAAAAGGCCACACGGTAGCTCAATATGGAAAGCGTGCGCGTCGAAAAGAGCTTTCCGGATTGGGGTCTTATGCGCGATTCTGACACCTGTAGCCAAAGTTATGGCCAAAAGACTGAAACATACTCAAAACGACCCCAATGAGAAACATGTCACAATCAATTCCCGCCTTTGCGCTGATCAGCCAATTCATGGTATCTCAGCGCCATCAAGGTGCAATCTGACAGCTCATCATCATCTGTCTCGGATCCCCCTACATCAGTCACCCCGGGTTGGAAAGAACTCGTCCTCGAGTTCAGATTAGTGTCATCAGAATCCACAAAACAATGACTCATGTGTTTCACATTAAAGACATCGGAAGTTTTCAAGTGGCTGGGAAGGCGCAACCTGTAAGCATTATCATTGATCTTCTGCACGACCTCACAAGGTCCAATCTTTCGATCCTTAAGCTTATTATACTCACCAACATGAAAACGATCACGAGTTAATACAGCCCAAACAAAATCACCAACATCAAAAAGTACCTGACGACGATGATTGTCGACCCGAGTCTTGTACTTGGTATTGCTCTCATGAATGGTTTGTTTCACCTGCTCATGGATACCCCGAAGATACTTTGCCATCTCATCTGCTTTAGGACTGAAATGACCTATACGTGGAATAGGGGCTAAGTCCAGCACCCCGGATAGGTTCTGACCATAGACAATCTCAAATGGGCTTAAATCTGTGGTTCTGTTTTTTGATATGTTGTAGGCAAATTCTGCCTGAGGCAATGCCAAATCCCACTGCTTCGGCTTCGTTCCTGCCAAACACCTCAAGAGGTTTCCCAAACTTCGGTTCACCACCTCGGTCTGGCCATCCGTCTGGGGGTGGTAGGCGCTGAAATTCAACTGTGTTCCCAGTTTCCCCCACAGGCTCTTCCAGAAATTACTGATGAACTTAGTATCACGATCTGAAGTGATGGATCGAGGAACACCATGTAAACGCACAATCTCCTTGAAATAGAGATGGGCAATCCGGTCAGCATCCATAGTCTTTCTGCAAGCTACAAAATGAGCCATCTTGGAAAACCTATCAACCACAACAAAGATAGAATCCGAGGCCCTTTGGGTGCGGGGTAAGCCTAGTACAAAATCCATGCTGACATCGAACCAAGGAGCTTCAGGAACAGGTAAGGGAGTGTACAAGCCCGCATTTGTGAGAACTCCCTTAGATCGCTGGCACACATAACAACGGTCCACATAATGGGTCACATCACTAGTCAACTTGGGACAATAAAAGTCAGAAGAGATAAGGGCCAAGGTCTTATCTCGGCCAAAGTGTCCCTCATTATGGAATTCACTTATAATTTGCTGCCTCAATGAACAATCTGGATTGCACAACTGTAATCCACGAAACAGATACCCATTATGCAAAACAAAATCATGACGGTGACCCTCAGTTACCTCCTGAAATATCATTCCAAAGGAAGGATCAGCTGCATACATATCTGTGAATGTCTCAAAGCCTGCAACTTTAGTACTCATGGTGGTGAGAAGTAAGGTACGACGGCTCAGGGCATCTGCGACGCGGTTCAAACTCCCTGCTTGGTGCTTCAGCGTAAAAGTGAATTCTTGCAAGTATGCCACCCACTTGGCATGACGTCTACTCAGCTTGTGTTGTCCATTGATGTACTTCAAGGCCTCATAATCGGTAAACAAAATAAACTCCTTCTGTACTAGGTAGTGACGCCAATGCTTCAGGGACTGAACTATGGCATAGAACTCCAGATCATAAGTGGAATAATTTTTCTTTGATCCCGATAGTTTTTCACTGAAAAAAGGAACCGAACGACCTGCCTGACTCAGAACACCACCAATACCAATGCCAGATGCATCACAATTTACCTCAAACACTTTGTCAAAATCTGGAAGTGCCAAAACTGGAGCCTCGGTCATCTTCTGCTTGACCAGTTGAAAGCTGGCCTCTGCCTCCTCAGACCACTGGAAATCACGCCCCTTGAGGCACTCTGTGATAGGGGCGATTAGAGTACTGAAATATCTAATGAATCGGCGGTAAAAAGACGCCAAGCCATGAAAACTTCGGATGTCATGTAAGGTCTTTGGTCTGGGCCACTCCAAGACTGCATCTACCTTTGACTGATCTGCATGAACACCATCAGTAGACACAACAAAACCAAGAAAAGTCACAGAAGTAGTGAAGAAAGAACACTTCTTTTGATTGACAAACAAGCACTCCGTTTTCAGCATATCAAAAACAGCACGGAGGTGATCGAAGTGTGAAGTCCATGTCGGACTATAAACGAGGATATCATCGAAGTAAACTACAACAAATTTCCCCATAAAAGGCCGCAAGACCTGATGCATAAATCTCATGAACGTATTGGGCACATTGGATAGCGCGAAAGGCATGACCATCCACT